TCAATTTTTTAAATATTAAAAATATATTAAATACATTCATATACTTTTGAATGGATAAGTGGCATATCCCTAAATGTTTAGAACTAGTCTATGGAGAGACATTATTCCTGATATTCCTGATATAAACATCAGATTTTTACTTTTGTTTAGAACACAGCTGCTATACACAAAGAAAGATAATACAGCTGTCCTTCCAAAAATGAAATTCATAACTGGATGGCTTAAGATTGTCTATGGAAAAAAAAGAGAGCATATACATATGTGTATGCACAAACCCCCCTATCTCACACACATATGCCTTCCATTTTTCATTTTGAAGAGAATAGCTATAAACAGTTAGTTATCAAAAATGCCTTGGGAGATTTTGTAACCTGGTTAACAAAGGTGCACAAAACTTTCATTTCTAAGAAAAAAGAATTATAGAAAACCATTAGCAGCTGAAGTGACAGAAGCCTTTGGGGAGTGATCCATCTCACTGCTCTTGAAAAAGAGAAATCAGGGTGCTAGAGACTCAAACTCAAGTTCATTTTCACTATCTGGAATTCGTCTTTATCTGACAGCTAAAGACAACACTGTAAAAATTCAATTTCTTAGCTATTTGTGTAGCAAGCAGCCACCAAGCACTGCATTACTGACAGATCTCATTGGAGAATGTAGTTAATTACACTCAGTTCTAAGTTAAGCTTAATTAGATTTTACTGAGCTACAGCAGAAAAGCGCTCTGAATATCATGTTAGGTGCTGTTTCTTGGTAAGAAACACTTAATACACTCCAGATATGGATACTTAATGTACAATATTCAGAATATGCTTTTGGCAAAGCACAGAATCTTGCTTTATCCTTACATGAATAGCAGATTTGTTACAATATTTCATGTCTTTTGCACTGACATGATAACTGGCAACAGCATAGTTTTTACTATTCATGAAAGGCTGCAAAAAATCTACAAATTACTTGCAATTTTAAAATTTGTACAGAGATATGAGGCAGTATTTGATATGGGTACTATTGCTTTAGTAAACCATACTGAAAGGAGATTATGAAGGTATTCTAGCTGTTAGAATCATAGATGTTGAATGTTTACAGTAAATTCCCTATAACCTGAAATAAGTCACAGAAGAAACCTATGCAAAGAATTGCACTAGCTATAATTAGATAAAGCATAAAAATTACCATACATGAGAGGAAGAAAAAGAGGAAAAAAACCCCAAAATATCAGAGTAGGAAAATATTTGTCTTTAAAAAATAACAGCAGCAAACAATTCAGTTTTTAACTAAATAAAGACCCCACTGGAAATATACAAAAAAATAAGCTAGAAAAGGAACAATTAGAATGATTACTCAAAACTTATATACATAAAAAACATCTTTTTCAAAGAACCAGATGGCTTTCAATACAATTGAAAATATTACATCACTGAAAAATACTATAGCTAAGTGTAGAATAATATTCTAGAATATAATGATCCTGCTAAAATGAAGGATAGACAGACTGAAAAAAGGAAAGGCCTGATAAAAGAATGGGTACTACTATAGCTTTGCAGCATTAATTACATAAAGAGAGTAGTCTCAGAAAATAAAGAGTTTTGAATTCAGAGTTCATATAATCAAGTAATAAATAGGCATACTATGAAAGAAATTATTCTTAACATGAAATTCTGCAAAACACTTTCTGACATATAGCAATAAATGCAAAGTAGACTTTCTAAATTCCAGACTTTCATTCTAGTGCATTCATTTTTGCTATGCACTAGCAAACTGAATTAGTGTTAGTTTTAATTCTCAGATTAAATATTTTTTATATCACTGTATCCATCTCACACTATGATAACCTGGACCTTGAATAGGACAAGCAGCATAAAATGCACACCACACAGGAAAATTGTGGCATAGAAGAAGTAATATAATTTGATTTCCTAAAATTCAGCTAGATTTAGTTGAATAGATGCAAATTTGTACATTCATTTAACTTTCAGGAAACTTTTGGAAAATCCATCGCTAGTAAGGATAATAGTTACATTTTTTGAGCTATCTTCCCTATGAAGGCATTTTCTCTCTACACTTGATCATATAACAAAAAAATCCATTGTAATTACAATCAATTCTATACGGAGAACGCAAAGTTTATAAACACAGAATTAGGACGAAATTGCAGAAAGTCATATTGTGAAAGAAAAATCCTACATGCAAATTGAAATTAAACAAATCATCATCAACAGCAGAGAGAAGTACAACACTATTTGTGCTTTTAACAAAATTTGCCCTATTATTATTATGAGTACCTCATTAAACCTCATTTGCTAATCTCTCCATATATGAACAATAATTTGCAATACAGTCAATGGAAGTTTCATACTTGAAAGAACTGTAATATTTAAATTATTTGTTAAATAATGTGATTAGGTATGGTGACAAATGAAACAGAGTTAGTATATGGCCTAATATTTAAAAGAGCTGGTAATACAGATAGGATCATGTAAACACTGCAATTGCTGACTTTATGAGATAAAGATTTAAAGGTATAACCTACTTTCTCCATTTGATTCTTCTACTCACTAAAACTTGAAGGGGAGAGAACACTAACATTCCTATCAGTTGCTTTTAGCAGATTTACCAAATATGCCCATAAAGCCATTGTAACTTAATAAAAGTTACAAATTATCCTGTTTTTGCTGCAAAGATTCATATTTCGCTATTTTACATTCCTTTGATAAAAGACAGTGGTAGAATTATCATCTTTGCCAATTATTAAAAGCAATTCTTAATTTGTACTTGATATTTATCCTATTGGATAATGAGCAATCAGGTTTAAGTCTCAATAGGCATATTTAATTTTGGCAAAAATGTTCAAAGGAGTTGCCACTGAAAGATTCTTGTAAATATATATTTTTTCCTTTTAAGGATTAATTAGAATATCTTCTTTTTGAATGGGAGTGAGAAAAAAATCACAAACTCAGTATTAAAACACAGAGCTATTCATGACAGTTCTGTAATTTGACTCATGCAAATCTGTCAGGGATAAAAATCAACCACAGTTTAATTTCAAACCTTTCCCAAACAGCTGCTGAACAATTTATGCACTACTTTTCTATTTTTACTGCAGGATAATGACAATGATGAATGCTTTTACTAGGAAATAAATATTCATTAAGCAGGCTCAGATCAAAGCCCATGAATGTGCAAGATCCATTTGCCTGTTGTGAGAGATTTATTTGGGATGAATATGGAACCGTGCCCACAAATGCATCTCATAACAATTTAACAGTTCAGTTAAATTAAACCTATGGCAATGCTTACTTGTAACCTCAGTAATCGATATTATTAAAGTTGGTGTCAACTCTAATAATACCAAATATACACGGGTGAACCGCTGATTAGTTACGGATGTAAATCAGATAAAGATAGCACAATTCTAAAGCACTAAAAAGCACTTATATGGAGTCAACTGCCAATAAATTGCTTGATGTAGGTCACTGTTCTTCCAAGCAATCTCATCATGAACTCGTGAAGTTTATAGACAAGGGCCAAATGGTGGTTCATTAGCCATGATTTACATGTTTTATCACTTTTTTTGTGCTTAAGAGTCATTTTATCAAGACTGATTATTTAAAATGAGGAATGGCAATAACATTGGCATGTTGTGTGATATAAAAATTGATTTGGGACATTCAGTACTCAGAAGCACTTTAATCAATTGGAACTAAGCCACAAGTGGTGAAAGGAATGGTCTACTGTTATTTTACGCAGTCCTATTATGTTACATGCTTCTCTTGCTCCAATACTTCACTATTATGCTTCACTGGACATACTATACTGTCTTGCTAGGAAACTGAAAATATCCTTATTTGCTGGAGCTAATAATATCTATACAGTATATATCTGTATCTATCTACCGGCAAGATGGAAGGAACACATGCTTAAGATCTATGCGATTAAAATAGATTTCATTTTGTACAAGCTGACACTAGCATAGGTATGGGCTTTCTTACATTTCCTCTACTGGGGAAAGAGATAAATGGGCTCCTACAGAGGACCACACTACTACTAGAGCCCCTAGCCACAGCTCCTATTCTGATTCTCCTTCAGAGAGTCTTTCTCACAGCTGACTGTAGGCAGATTCTAGCCTCCTTAGGCTAAGCTTTCCTTTGGTTAAAACCTTTCATTCACCCAGATGAGCACAAAAAAATGGAAATGTGGTCTCCATGCTGATGACTATTTGAAATTGTTCTAATATACAACACTCAAGCAAGATTTTTTTACAAGGCTTTCCTCACACAAACACTATTCTGCACAAGTTGATAACTCATTCATCTACTTAGGCTTACGACTTTAACCTTATTCTCTTCTTACGTCAGTTCTATGTTGGAAAAACTCCACCAATTTCAAGGGCTTTCACTGACATAAGTGACCAAGAAACCATATCGTAATACTTAAAGTTTTATCAATAATATTGGATTATTTTTTCATTTGCTACATTCCACTACCTGCTGGACAATATTTTCTCTCCAATTAATGAAACTATTATAATTGCATAGAGTAGGTCCTCAATTAGAGTGCAAACTTTTGTAGTGTAGCATGGAAAGGAATAGCTAAATTTTACTTTTTTTAATGAAAAGTATTTCTGAAATCAATCACACATCAAAATAAAGCTCCTGAGACTGGGTGCTGATAGAGTTCAAGCATTTACTAATTATTTCAAATTACAAACAAAACTTTAACCTCAAACCAACAACTTTAAATATGTAGCTGTCCCTTTCCATCCTTCTTCTCCCACATAGGGAAGTACTTTGCAGGCATCTTAGTGCTCTTCCTTTTCTTCCAAATCCAGGTGAAACTGTGCCTATGTGTCTTCATATATAAACACCCATATGTGCACACACCACAGAGAGGGGCCAAGCAATCTCAAAATAGATATGTATGAGAGATAGCACAGCCTGCCAATATACATTAGCCCCAAAGTAACAGAACCATATCACTGCGTAGAAAGATTTGCGTCTTACCTTGAGACACTCTTCTTGTTTGAAGAGATCCTCGCAATCCTTAACCTGAAGAACAGGAGAATTAAGGCGCTCTTCTACTTCAGACAAGGCTTGCAGAAGCTGGAGGATCTCTGCCAGGTATGCAGAAGGCACATAAGTAGTTTCCACAGTCATACCTTCAGTCACCACAAAAGTTGTATCTTCACGAACTGTTTGCTAGTATAGATATACAACAGAATGCTTCCTTTAGTTACTCAACACCACACAAACTTATAACCTAATGCAATTTCCAGTTTAGAACCTAAAACAATTAAAAATAATGTCTAAGGTCAAAAGTCAGAAATCTTTGAGGTTTCTGACATAAATCACGCACACTTCACCAGTCTGTTTGAAATAACAAGTACTAAAACTGATCCATGAAAAGTGTACAAAGTTTTTTCTCCTACTCTCTTTCCTGGGAAATGAAGATAGGAAATGCAAGACTACTCTGTGATTCCAGCACTACTGAGACTTTATTGCTAAACTTTTCATTTTAAGTTCTCACAACTCTTTAAGAACATGTCATCCATTACAGAAATTCTACACAAGCGAGGCTTAAAATACTAAATAATTTCAATTTCCAGTAAAAGAGTGAGTACTGTAATAGGCACAATTTCTTAAATAACATACGACACAAAACACCTAGATCGGCTCATCACTTTAAATACTGCACTAACATCTTTCTATTTCAATTAGAAAGCACAATTTGGAATTTCATGATTGGAAAGTTCTTTAATGCTTTCATAGTCCTGAAAGAAATCTCAGCAACACAGCTCTTCAGGAAATTAAGCATTTTCATCTGGACAAATATTATCTAGATACCTACTCTGACAGCACCTTGTGTACACCAAGTGTAAAGAATATTTTTGTTCCAAGAAAATAGATAGTTGGTCTATAGTGTCCCAAAAGTTTTATAAATTGTCTGCCTTTCTAATTAGATGTGTTTCACAGAAGAAAAGTAATATCGAAAAAAGTGTGCCTTGGAGCACAGGGAACTGTGTCTACTTTATTTAATTAAACTCCAGTTACATGATTACCTGCAACTCCTTTAGAAAAGGTCAAAATTAAAGATATGAATTCTTTGCGATTCATGGACTGTTATTTGTTTCATCATAGCACCTAGGAGTCCCTAGTGTGGGACCAAGATCCCTGATGCCTATCATCTTCTCAAAAATAAAAAGTTTATTTCTTGAGGACCTCAGAAATTTCACAAGTAATTTCTGGCAAACATTCTTTGAAAAGTCACACTATTTAGATGCTCTAGTCTTAATATAGATACTCATGGATTTTGGAGCTGTGAATGTGAAAGATACAGGATCAACAGTCCTGGAGGATATAGTATCATTCATTAGCCACATGGCGTGTAAAAGAAAACAAACATAAATGCTATTTTGCACACAGTACCTCAGCAAGGTGTCTCATTTTAATTTATCCATTTGCCCTGCCCATCCTTTCATTACATGCCTTTCTCCTCAGTTAGCAATCTGAGTCACTTGGTTCTTCAGTTTCCTTCTTAGAGTCTTGGTATATGCATATATGCACTCATGAAGATGCCTCCATTTCACGTATAAAGTCCATGAAGTTATCTGTAGACTTTGCTTACTTTGCTGCATTTCTTATGCAAATTTAATAGCTCTGCTTACAGTCCTCTCACTAAATGACCTTCTCAAGACATCTGCTAACACTGAAACCATTACAATGCTATCACCTCTAACTTTTATTTAAAATAAATAGCTAACAAAATTTTTGTTTGACCTTCTGCATGTTTCACGAATCACATTCTCAGCAAAAATAGCACTTGACCCTCTCCAAAGAGAAGCTTTCCTAGTTGATTAGAAAATGGGAGGGCCTTAGCAGAACCGCTAAGGCATGCAGCAACATATTTTCATTCCTCAAGACGTTACACTGTAACACTTCTACCTGTAGCTCCACATGAAGAATATTTAACTATAATTATATTTTATTTTTTGATTGAGAAGATAGAATATATTCACAGCGATTAAAAAGGCATGCTAAGTTTGCAAGGTTATTCACTCAAAATGAGGTTGCATGAATTTATAAAGGATACATAAAATATAATTAGTTTTTATAGTTTTATTATTTAAACTATTTTTTTCAACCCAAGTTTGGGCTTATAACTATGTACACATGTAAATACATGTATCTATGAAATAGAATCTGTGCCTTCATGCCTTCAATAATTTCTGAAATCAGTTACAGTCAAGCAGAAATCTGATGTGTGAGCACTTCAGGGATATCATGCATACCTATAGAAGTACCAAAATCGGTTTCTTTCAATCACTGCTAGAAATAAGTCATAGAAAAGCACTCTCCAAGGCCAAATTAATTAAAGTCTGAAGACAGGATTGAATCTTGTATGACCTATACGGCTTACTCATCCCTCAAAGTATATGTAATATTTAACTCCTATCAATGTTAATGAGAAGTATGCAGCCATATATTCACACTTATCTTTATAGAAAACTTCTTATATTGATACTCCTCTCAATCGGTCAGCTACTGGTATGGTTCTACAGGCAACATGATTCTAGTGCAAACAAAGCATTGATATTTCTATTACTAGTTCAACTGAAAAGTGCTAAAACCGGATCAGCAAATAGATGGATAGATATTTGAAAGCATAAGTTTGCCAGATCCCGCCCTCCTATTTGGCAACATTATTTCACACTTTATACTAAAGAAAAGTAACAATCCAAACTAATTAGCTTCTGAATACTATTTAAAGAAATGACTTGGAAATTTTGACAAAATTGAAGGAACTGAAGATTAAATTTCTTTGCCTTTAGTGGGCTTGCAAGATGTCACTGGTATCTTTATTTTGCTCTTCCTTTCGTTGGGAGTACCATAAGAGAGTGCAAGGAAGAAGCTGGCATCTTGCCCTAAAGAACGCAGGCGAGGCGTATTGAGAACTGACAATTCTAATCAGAATGGAAAAAGTTTTTGGCCTCCCCGTTTGTTTGCTGGAATTACAGCACTGGAGAAGATACAAGAGGGGCAAAGAGCGCATGCCTATATTCTAGATCGGCACATTTACCAGAAACGCCTAATTGAAACTGGATCATTTGCTAATACGCTGATAAGGGGAACCGAAGAAAAGGAGTCTGAGGGCTTCTGCAGTGCAGGGTGACTAGCAGATGGTGGCAGCTAGGAACCACCAATTTTAAAAATCATATTAATTGAGTAAAGATATATATCATTGGCTAATGCCAAAATGGTTCATCAGAACCAAGGTATTCTTAACATTTTCTAGGGATTTGAAATAAGTAAGTGGAAATGAAAGCTTTAGCTAATCTTTTAAGAGCAATTTTGAATAAACCGAATTTGACAAAGTGGCAAAATACATTAGGTGATAGTTAATTGAAAGTTTTCTAGCTCAAAAATACATAATATTAAAAAAAATACATAATACAATGAACCATTCAGAATGATGGGAAAATGGTGGTGTAAACGGCCACTTGCATTATCCTTATTTCTGTAAAATAGTTTTTATTGATATTAATTTATTTTAGTAGTTTTACTCTAATGTCAATATTATACTGATGCACAAATCATTTCTAATCCCTGAAAAATCAATATCCTTTGGGTAAGGCTTATCATTTCATGCATTGCTTTTCACCATGTGTCATTATCACTGGAATAACAAATTGAATTTTCTTTCCCATCACTAAGCATTTTTAATTAAAGGGAAGAATTTTTCCATAAATGTGATCCTACCCATATGTGACAAATAAACTGATTTTATTGATAATTAAGTCCTATCAGGTACAACGCAAAGACATTAGAAACATCCACAAACAATCCCATAGCTGAGCAGACCAATAATAAACAAAAGGAAAGAAATAAAAACTGCAGGAATAATGCATTGTGTTCTGATTATTATTCATACATCTAGAACAGTATTACATGGAAGTGCCACCTGGAGAATCCTTTTAATTTTCCTTTTAACACTGGAAAGCCAAAATGCAACCAAAGATACTTATGTGACTGATAGATGAACTAGCTTTGTTATCAAATGTATGGATTTTTAAAAATGCCCTAAGTATTTAGTTTAAATCACCATCCACTTCCGTATATCCACTCCACCCAGCTCAGTATATCCATTTCCTTTCCTCTTTCTGCAAAGGAAACAGTCCCAACATCCTTTTTGGTACGCAACAGCCTCCAACCTTCTCGTGTTAGGCCTTGACAATTATTTTATTCTAGATCCAGTCTCACTGTAGGCCCCTAACCTAGTAGCAGCCTTAGTGCACTGTGCTTTTAAATTAATACTTCATAAAAATAGAATACACAGGAATAGTGAAGTGGCAAAGTACACCACCCATCTGCACTATTAGACCCTGACACTGCTCCTAGCAGCATCCTGAGGAACAGTTTAGGAAAAAACCATGTTCTTCCTCTGGAAGGGAACTAACGCTTGAGAAAGTACTCTTTCCAAACAGCTGTAAGATGTATGAGACTGAAAAATGAGTCATCTCTGAGGAGTAATGTAGGTGCGCTTCTACAAAAAAAATGAACCAGCCACCAGCCACCTTTCTGGACAAAGGCGGACATGCCTCGAAATCTCCAATAAACTTCTGAACTGTTTATTGCTTTTTAAAATAAACTCTAAATGACATAAGACTTGCTAACCAGTTGTTAGCAGCAATATATCAGATAAACAAAAAATTAAAAATGTGGTCAATAAAATCATTTTCAAGTATATATTTATATGAAAAGAAGTTTTCTTATTACACACTCATTCCTATGCCAGTTGTGAGTGATGACGTCATCTCACCTTCAGAAAGACAAATTCTGTATCTTCAGTTTTGCTAGGATATCTTGCCCTTAAGTATGTACATATTTAACAGGTACATTAGGATGATACAGAGAATATGGAATTTTTCATTACGAGATTGGATGGCCTTAGTCAAACACAAGCCAGTAACGTGTCAGAACAGAAATAAGCATCTCTCTCAAGTACAAAGAGACGTTAAATTCTCACTATAAGATTACAAATTTAGAAAATGTTTATATAATTCCATAGAGGCAAGGCCTTAAAAAGCATTTGACAGTATTAAAAAACCCATAAAATAATAAAAAATATATTTCATATTTTCAAATAAGAGTGTACATATTATTTTATGTTTTTTTCTACTCATGCATGATTATAGTGTACA